AGGTGGGCACATGGCAGCAACAGCCGGGCAGGAGCGTGGGGCCCATGCCAGTGTCCCGAGGCCAGCACTGGCGGGGCCCAGAGCAGGACGGCAGAAGCATGGGGTCCTGGCCAGCAGGGGCTCTATGGAGCCGGGCCAGGTCCCCTCTCTCCCTGTTGGCGTAGCCCAGCCAGGCTCCATAGACCCCTGACACCCTGCACCCCACATTCCTGCCGTCCCACACTGAGCCCTGCTGGCGCTGGCCCTGTGTTCCTGTACATCCGCTTGTTTCCACTCCCACCCACCCCTACTGCCGCTTTCCCCACTTTCCTTCCTGCCTGCCTGCTGGCGGCTCCTGGACCACATGGTTCCTGGCTGCATGGCCACGATGGCAGGACTTAGCAGGAGCCAGCCCGGCCCCCAGGACTGAGGCAATAGCCTACGGTCCTCCCCTGCCTCCCTGCCCTCCCGTTTCTTACCTGAATTTCCCACTCCGGTGCAGGGAGACGGGAACAGACCCATAGCCCCAGGCCAGAAGCCTCTGCTAAACAGCCCTGCCGTGGCTTCCCTTGGGTCCTACTTCAGCTGGATCCTGTCATAAAGCGACCAAAACGCTGGCTTGCATCCATAGATGCTTCTCAAGCAAATCCCGGGACGTCATTCTCCCCTTGTACTCGGCCTTGGTGAGGCCGCAGCTGGAGTACTGCTCCAGTTTTGGGCTCCACAATTCAAAAAGGATGTGGAGAAGCTTGAGAGAGTCCAGAGAAGAGCCACGCGCATGATCAGAGGTCAGGGAAGCAGACCCTACGATGACAGGCTGAGAGCCCTGGGGCTCTTTAGCGTGGAAAAGCGCAGGCTCAGGGGTGATCTGATGGCCACCTATAAGTTTATCAGGGGTGACCACCAGTATCTGGGGGAACGTTTGTTCACCAGAGCGCCCCAAGGGATGACGACTAGGTCGAATGGTCATAAACTACTACAAGACCGTTTCAGGCTGGACATAAGGAAGAATTTCTTTACTGTCTGAGCCCCCAAGGTCTGGAACAGCCCGCCACCGGAGGTGGTTCAAGCGCCTACATTGAACACCTTCAAGAGCAAACTGGATGCTTATCTTGCTGGGATCCTATGACCCCAGCTGACTTCCTGCCCTTTGGGTAGGGGGCTGGACTCGATGATCTTCCGAGGTCCCTTCCAGCCCTAATGTCTTTGAAATCTATGAAATCTCTGACAGGCAGCCAGGGGCAGATAAATATTAATTTTCTAAATTTTTTAGGGGCCCTGCAGGCTGGTAGAATGGCTTGGTAGGCTGGATTTGGTCCACAGGCCATATTTTGCCCACCAGTGCATTAGTTTCTTCTTCCATTCTGAGTATACTATGGGTCTGTTAAAGAAAGCGCTTTATTTCCCCCACCCTCATGCTTGCAAGTTTGAACAGGAATTCCTAAAATCTAGATCGAGGTCCTGTGTCTGGTGTAGTTCAGGACACGAAGTAAGACAGAAATTACACAAAAGAAAAACCTTTTGTGATCAAAGAATCAAAATCAGCCTTTACTTTATTCTAAACTGAGACTAACTCTGAAGGACTCACTGGAATGTCTCTGGATTTCCACTGATGTAACTGTGAGCAAAAGTCATCCCAAGGCAATTGATGCTGTTAAACAAAGTGAGTCAGTATTGTCAGAATGGTATCCAGGTGAAGCTGGATACATTCTATGTTCATTTGCAATAAAGATTCCAGTGCACAGTCAATATAGAGCTAGAAAGTGAGTGAGATTAGGAGGCTGAAGGTCAAGAAACACAGCACAAAACGATTAATTACAGGTTCTTTTCTCTGTTGATTTAAAATTTAAGTAAATTACATCCCTCTTCTACCCCCCAAAGAATTACAGGTTAGTACGTATAAGCATCGACTTTGCTCTCTTTCCATATACTTCATTAGTCTGGTGTAGGGGTGTCAGATTCCTGGCCTCTTTGATGTTGTTAATCGAAAGCTCAGATTCTGCCAAATACAAATGTTAATTTATTTTAAGGATAATTGCATTTCCACCTCCTACAGTAGAAGGGATAATCTCCTGAATGTAAAACATCAGTGTGCAGGTGGTCTGAAACAATAGTTCTGAGGGGTGAGAACTTCTCTCATTCATCTCAACATGGAGCTGTTTGGACCTTTTCACAGAATGAGCATGACATGTCTGCTTTAGGACGCCGTATAAAGGTTTATAAGAAAAAAGAACCATTATTTAACAGTTGCTTTAACTTTCAGAAGGCAGCTCATGAAAAATACTAGCAAGCCAATATATTCTTAGGAGATGGTATACACTTCAGCAAGAATTAATTCTTTTTCACAACATAAGGGCTGTCAACTTTCCTGTTTAAATTCAACTCTTCAAAGAGCATCCCAGGCCCAGGAACAAAAAGCATACATTTAAGTTCAGCCCACTATTTGTTAGTGGCTGACAACAGTTGACAGTTTTCCTGTCAATGTGATGGAGCACTGTAAATTATCCTAAGAATAGGAGAGAAGTAGTTAGCTTCCTTAAATCAGAAGTCAGGCAGAAAGCAGGGCAGGACAGGGTACCACCAGAGCTAATTGGTTCAAAGACAGGGTGGATAAAAAACAATGATTTTAAAAAATGGATTTTTATTTAAATCAGATTTTTTTATTTCATTATATTGTTTATTTTTTTTGTTAAGATGCTTTTTAAACAATAAACCTATATAAAGATAGTTTACATTTAAGGTATGTTAGAGCTCAAAGATATCATCATGGAATAGGGATTATAACTTCTAATTATATAGTATTTGAAACAATATATTCATGTAACGTTTTTTAGAAAAGTTTCATAAATAGATCACACCAGGCCATGGACTACATTAGTGGCCCAATCTTATGGGGTTCCCAGAGGCTCCTTTATAGATTGGTAAAGATTAAAGAAAACCACTCTACCCAATGGGACTCAGTGCTCAGTCTCATGGATCCCATTAAACAGCTCTGTGATGCTTAGTTTCAGTTCTCAGACTGTAGATTTGTGTCCAGAGAAAAATATCCTTGTTAACAGAAGTATATGGAGATGAGAGATAACAGACCCAATTACCAACCCATCATCCCTATGTGTACACAAACTTGCAGAGAGACAAGAGTCAAGCCCTTACCTCTCTCTCAAAGTGCAGTTTCAAAAGTTAAATGAATAGAGGATCGTTGGGGATGGAGTAGATCTAGGCAAGGAGGAGGAGTCCGGAGATAAATGCAAGGAGGGAAGGGCAACAAACAAAACAGAAACATTTTGAGCAGAATATTCCAGAGGCCTTGAGGGGTAAGTTTCTGAGTATAGCCTCTCCATGATTTGAAATCTAGTGAGGGAATAATATGGTAGAAGGGAAAACCTAT